AGGTGACAGGCAGGGGCTGTCACTGACAGGATGGCATTGCTGTTACCTGCCCCCAAGAGTAGCACTAGCCCTCTTCCAAATGTCCCTGACAGGTCCCAGGGCTGCCACTGGACCTCAGGGCAGCTTTAGTGTGCCCAGGGCTGCCTTTCTCGGCTCTGCTCCAGCCCCATCATTCCACTGTAGCCTCCCCTCATGGGAACAGGGGCTCCAGGCCCAGTGCCAGGTTTGGGGCTGTGAGGGAATTTGGGAGGATCTGGTGGGCACGAGGCTGTGCTGCCAGGGGATGTGTTGCCGTTGGCCCCGGCAGTGTCCCAGCCCTCCCTGACGGTGCTCTCTGGCTGCAGACATGCCACGGGCAAGGCTCAGCATGGGAACTTTCTGGTGACCATCAAGCAGGAGAAGGGAGAGTCGGCACGGATGGGTGGTGAGAAGCCACACGGCGAGGAGGAGGTGAGCCCTGGTGCCCATATCCCTGCCCACAGGGTTCGAGGTGTGGGGCTGTCCCTGTCCCTCCACTGGGCAATGGGCCGAGGAATCTCCCAGACCTTCCCTGGAGGGCCAGGGGGCCCGGGCGGGTCTGGGCCCTGCTCCCATGTCCCGGTGGCCCCGTGTGCTCTGACCCCTCTGTCCCTACCCCCGGGTGCCAGCCAGTGAAGAAGAGGGGCTGGCCCAAGGGCAAGAAGAGGAAGAAGATCCTCCCCAACGGCCCCAAAGCCCCCGTGACGGGCTACGTGCGCTTCCTGAACGAGCGGCGCGAGCAGATCCGCACCCAGCACCCCGACCTGCCCTTCCCGGAGATCACCAAGATGCTGGGAGCGGAGTGGAGCAAACTGCAGCTCTCGGAGAAGCAGGTATGGTCCCCTGGGAGAGACCCCCGGGCTGCAGCCCAAACCCCTTGGCTCCTGCAGGGCTGGAGCTGGTCCCAGTGCTGGGCTGGGAGGGTTGGGAGCCTGGAGCTGGGCCGGGCTGAGGCCCCTCTGTGACCGCAGCGGTACCTGGACGAGGCGGAGCGGGAGAAGCAGCAGTACATGAAGGAGCTGCGGGAATACCAGCAGTCAGAGGCCTACAAGATGTGCACGGAGAAGATCCAGGAGAAGAAGATCAAAAAAGGTGGGTTGTGAGAGCAGGGGCTGCTGGGATCTGGCCATGCACTGCCAGAGCCTTAGGGGATGGGGTCTGGCTGCCGGGGTGACTCCCTTCCTTCCTACCTTGCAGAGGATGCAG